TATATTCGTATTCCTTTAAGATGCACTATATAAAGACCAATGGTGAATAAATCGCAACATGATATAAAAGACTAAATAAAATGTAAAAACATGGATGTAATAAAGAAGAATGCACAAAATAAATAAATGAAATTTATAAATAAATAAAATAATTCATATATAAACTAGGCAAAATTTCCTCTCTCTTGTAGCACTTTGTAATGTTTGCCTTTTTGATGTGCCTTCTAATCACTGTTCTACAAACCATTCACACAAGCTCGTTATGTAGTCCATTCTTGGCTTTCCTCTGTCCTTCTTGACTTCAATATGTCCTGAGGAGTGTCAACTTGCATAAACTTTCTTTGCTCATTATGAACCCTAGATATTTTGAGTCTCTTTCTGATTCTAAAAATCATTTATGTTTCCCTTTCCCTTAACACTTCGTCGTCGCTCCTTTATTCAATCCATATTATTCTCAAAATCTTTCCGTCGAACCACATTTCTGTTACATCACTTATAATTTATGTCTTAAGTCTCTTCTTCATCTGTGAAAAATTGTCCGACATTTACTGACATATAGCAGGCTTGACTCTGTTTCTTTCGAAATTTTCCTGTTTCTTAAGACTTTGATTAGCGTTTGAAAACCATCTTTCGCTATTTCAGTTCGTTTTAGGATTTCGGTATCCATTGAAACAATTACGACTTCTTCTACGTGATGTCCTCCTTCAGCAAGTAGGCGATTATGGCTCTCAACAAATTTCTCCTTTATAGCTCTTAATATTTTTTTTACTTTTTGTTATCTCTCCTAAATATTGCTCTGCCATCAATTTACTAAAGCTTACTAGATAGATTATGCTTTGATTTTCTCTGTCCGTCTTTCCTTCTGTGTTTATCAAAATTTTCAAGTCCCTCCTTCCTTCATTATGTACCCAAGAAATGTCAACTGTGAGGAGATTGTCCAGCATTCACTGCCATATAGGAGGATTGATATTACGTAACAGTCCAGTACTCATTTCTTTGTTTATAACGAATTTTTTTTGTTCCTTTGCCTTACTTTTGGGAGCTATCTTTTATTATTCCAATACGCCTTCGAATTTCAGTGTTGCTAGGACGGACGTCATATCAAGGGAGATAACTCGCTCCCTAGTTCAGAACTCTCTTGGACAAGAGAAGGAATGGGATTTTAAAGATAGCACTTACACATCCTTAGATGTTCCGTATCGAATTACCAGTAATGCATTTGTCATGTTTTACATCTATTGTTATCCATTAGTAAATAAAATGTATAAAAGGTTTCGATTTGTCACAAATAAGAGCATCAATGACACAAGTGTCGCGATTTCCGTTCTATGTTAAAACACTTACCAGATATTTAAGTTGTTGTACCAGTCTGGTCTTCCAATTGATGTTTAGAAGAACCTACTAGATATTTGAATTTTCGTACTTAATTAATATTGGTGTTTCCAATTGCTAGTTTACATATTAGGCCTTTATTGCTGACAACCATATATTGTCTTCTTACAATTGATGTTTAGTCTTTTCTTTGCTACATTTTGCTTTGCCACATATTATAAATGTTCTCATAGTTATTTTGGGGTGTCTGCCATCATCACCGTATATCTCACGTTATTCAGATTTTATCCCCGTTAATAAATCCTAGCTGGACATTGGTTTCTCTCATTATCGCATTGCTGTAAAAGTTTGAAGAGGACTGTGTGGGTTTGAGTGCTGTATTACGGACACGTGCTGTATATTTCTGCTAGAAGGTCCGACTACAAGAACAATGCCGGACTCAAGTTGGAGTCCAACCGAAGATGTAAAGAAAACAAACAAGACCGATATATATATTCCGACAAATATATGTATTAAACAACAAATTTACAAGTGACAAAGACATTAACATTTGTGTTTGTGTGTGAATGTAAAGAGTTTGTATTTTGGTGAATGTTCGTACGTACGAACATTCACCAAAATACAAACTCTGTGTGTTTGATGGCGTTTCCCCATGAGTGGGCAAAAACGCTAATCTCCATGAGAGATTACATTTTTAAATGTGCCGGTTTAAATGCAAAGTGAAAAAGAGAACGAGGCGAGAAGTCGCCCAGTATTTATAGTGTAGGGAGAGCGACCCCTTGTGAACAATTAAGGAATTAAGGAGGTGCTAACTCCGACAGGTTAAATAAATCCGGTAAGAATAGAAACTATTTTTGATGAAAGAATCAAATTTATAATATGATAAACTTTGTCTTATGTACTTGGTTAAAGTAGTTGTTGGTAGATTGTTCAGTTGGTCCATCATATGATTGAGTGTTCATGAATGATAATAATGTTCTTTGTCATTCAATATTGCTTGTATAGATAAATAATAAGAAGAGTGTTAGGCAAGGATAATTATAAAATTAGAAATTAGCAACAGTTTATTGATGCGTTGAGTTAAGTCGGAGAAAAGTGATTATTCTGTTGATTCGATTGAGTTAATAGATTGATGACATTGGTAGCATTCATTATAGAGATAATTATGTGAGAAACTTTGATTGCATCCTTGTAGAACGATTAAATTCACCTTTTTGTCTTCGTTTAGAATGGTTTTGTGGGGCGCTAATAAGATTTGGTAAGAAAGAAATGTATCAGAAGGGTTTTGATGAAGGTTGCGTTTTGAAATTAGCACACCACATTTAATTTGCAAAGAAACATGAAAAAGAATGACAAGAGTTCATTGAATGATCAACAAGAAAAACATGTATTGAAAACAAGTAAATATACAATTGTGTTAATGACAATAAGGTTTGAGACGTAAAAAGTTGTTCCCCTTATATCGTGTGGGAATACAAATATGTGTTGTAAGAACTTTTCTTATTTAAATTTGTTTAGAGTTCAAGAATATTTGATACTTTAGTTTGAAAGTGAGAATGTTGTGCAAAAAGATGATAAAGTCTTGTATAGTTCACTTGGCTTTTGAAACAGACAGTTCACAGTGTTGTGTGTATGTAACTTATGTCTGTGTGTGTGTTTGACGTTTGAGTAGAAGATTGAGACTAATACACGTAGGTGGTTAAAGGCTCTGAAATTTAATAGTCTACTAATGTTCTTCCTTTAATTTCTGCTATACATACGGTGTCAATTTATGTGATTGGTCCAAAATCGACTAATTGTTGTTGGTTTTTTTTTTCTACAAGTTTGGTAAGGTAAAACACGAGAAAATTTGATATGGCTCATGCGATGCGTAAATTGTCTTTAAAGAAAATAGTGTTTATTTTCTGTCCAATGACTCTTGAGTAATTTGTGGGCGTGGTGTATGTAAACGTCCACTACAGTTTCAATCGGCCCCAAAGAGATGACTAAGAAAACTAGGACTTCCGTATTGAATCTTGATTTCACCAAGAATGACAATTTGAAAATACTAATTGTATCCCTGGCATTCCTCTTCTATGTACCGTGTCCCTGCAGGACGTAGATCATGGCTATCCATATTTTCTTCCTCTTTTCACCTCAAAATATTTTGACTTTTTGCTACCATACCCTATCCCTATTTTGCCAACCACTCACACAAGGTCGTCAGGAAGGTTATTTGTCGCTTTTTCTCTGTCCCTCTTACATTTAATATATCCTTTGAGTGTCAAATTTTCCAAGCTCTCTTTCATCATCAAGAGCCCCAGAAATTTCAGCTCCCTCTTTCTGATTCAAAGTATGAATGTCCTTTTTGTTTTCATTTTCTAAAAAATTTAATCTTTGTTCACATGTTCAATCCCTGGTATCATTAATATTCTTCTGTAGAACCACATTTGTTTATGTCTGTTCTTTCATCTGTGAGATTTTACAGAATTCACTTTCATTTTTTTTTCAGGATAAATATTGCGTAATAGTTCAGTGTTCCTACCTTTCTTCTTTTTAATACTTTGATTAACTTTTGGAAGGTGTTTTTCACTACTCCAACGTGCGATCGTATTTCAGTGTCAATTTTCATGTCCTTTTTTAAGTTCCTAGATAAGTAATTTTTTATACTTGCTTAATTTTGGTGTCATCAGTGTCAATTTTCATGTCCTTTTTTAAGTTCCTAGATAAGTAATTTTTTATACTTGCTTAATTTTGGTGTCATCAAATCGTATTCTGTTGTGTTTGCTGACAACCACATATTCTGTCTTCTTAGAATTTCTTTTTAGTCCGTTCTTTTCGCTTTGCTTTATTACCGTCTATCAGAGTTCCTGTAGTTTCCTTTCGGTGTCTGTCTGCTATCAACACTGTCATCTGCATATCTTACGTTGTCTTCGCCAATAATGGATTCTGGTAGCTCTATAAATTCTATTAGGATCGCCTCGCTATAACGGGTGAATATGTTCGGTGAAAATAGACATACTTCTCTTACACTCCTTTCAATTTTTTGTGTATTTACTTAATTCCTATTCTATTTTTGTGTATTTGCTAATTCTTTTTCTATCTATATGCGGAGGCACGTGGGAATAATGGATAGCGGCTCGGATTGAGGAATCTGAGAGCCGAGTTCGAATTCCAGTCGAATCCATTACATTCAATTACGTGCTAATACTCTTTTGAAAATTTCACTTCTCCCCCCCAGCTATGGGTAAATAGCATGTCAGACTGGGTAGCTTTGGATGACAACTAGTCTACCGCAGAATGAAATGACAACCTACTGTGGGAAAAAATCTGCCTCGTCGGTCAAGTATCGAAAGATACATGATCGCCTAAGCGTGTATCACGCATGGTACATAACTGACTGATGCATATGCAGGCGGTTTACTCCCAGTATAGGTTCTGGATTATTCTAATATCCTTCCGAAATAAATTATGCTTACCTAGAAATTCCAACAGTTCTTTGACATACTTTATCTAAAGCTTTCGCTTAATCGATAAAACATGAGTATACATACTTTGGTATTTGTATTGCTTTTTCTGTTATCATTCCGAGCATAAATATCTCCTTCTTTGATCCACTGTCTTTGACGAACTCGCGCTGTTCTTGTCCACTTTCGGTTCTGTTAACAGGCAAGAGGCTCCTTTACGCTATGAGGTTTTGTGCAGCAAAATCTTCCTATCCCTCATTCATCTCACTCTGCCTTGTGCCGGACAAAACTATGCTCAGCAAATAGCTCTGTATTTATCGAACAACGTATTTGAAAAATTTGCTCTTTGATTTTTCAATCCGTGGTTTAAACTCGTCTTTTAAGCTTTCTTTCTGTTATCGACGTTTTCTTCTTTTCCTTCTTCCTTTATCTATTCGTTTGTAGTCTTTCTTTTGGGATCGCAATGAGGAAGACGGACGATTGCTCTATCTTATTTTTTCTCTGTTGCTGTTGTTTTTCTTTGTATATATAAGAAGAAACAAAGAAAAACAGTTAGATTGATGAGAGAGGCGGACCTAATAACATTGGAGAACAAAAAAATATATCAAAAACGTATAAAATATTTTGAAAGAAAATACATGGCAAAAAAAGAATAAAGAATGCCTCCTATGCAACGTATTTGAAGACAAGCAAGTCGAAATATAACGTAGTTTATTGACTTTAGTCCTGCATTGGGTTTATCGTTTTTAATAGCAACTGAAGTAACGTTAGATGCATGAGCCCACGAAAGCATGTCATACGTGAATTGTATGCTCCACCCACGCCTGTGTATAAGCTAGCACAGTCCCTGGTGAGTATGATAGTGTATAATCAGTGAAATTGCCTGCTTAAATATGAATGTGTATGGCTGTTTTCATATACACACGAGTAAAGATAAGCTCGTGTATATCTAAGTACGTGTGTACATTAGTAGATATATACATATATGTAGCTGTATTTGAGCATACATGAGTATAAGCGTCTTTGCATGCATCCTTGTAGTAATATTCAGAATTTAATAGTTAAAATAGCTAGCGGGGAAAGAACTTAAGACCTGTGAGTATCAGATTCTCCAGGCCCTCCTTGCTCATTACATGTCCCAAAAACTTCAGCTGACTCTTCCTGATACGAAGTATAAGCATCCTCCTTAAATTTTAAATTTTACCACAAGTAACGGAATAATGGAAGTTTAAGTATCATATTAACTGTGACTATAAATTACCAATGCTACTATATATTCATGTGTATCTGTTGCGTGAATATATATATATATATATATATGAGAGAGATAGTTAGTCATCCACAGACAGACGGTTTCACAGCTCATCACTGTGGCTAGACATACAATTGCTTCAAGCTGAGATCGAAACCAACCAATTTGCCATCAGGAACTCTCACGTCTAGGCCATCAGCACACACTAGGAAGAAAGGGGATTTTTAACATATTATATACAAGATATATGCATAACTGATTAACAGAGGGCTCAATTCATAGTGAAGAGCTTTGCATTAATCAGCAGCAGCCAACAAATTCCCTTTCTTTTAAATGTGCTCAACCAACAAATGGGACTCTCTCTGTCTATCTATATATATATATATATATATATATGCGTGCATGCTTCTAGAGTTTTCCATTGAGGATTACAATTTTTAATGTAAAAGTCTTCCGAAAGTTTGTATCTTGGAAAAGGGGCTTCATTATTTTTATCTATTTATGTTTTCACTTTGTCAAATTTTCAAATCATGAGAGAAAAAGCGGGAACAAAATCAAAACCGCCTCTTGAACTTTTTTTTGTGCTCGGTTATTCAACATCAGTGTTTTAAGACAAAAAAAAATGATTACCGATTTCGTTTACAAGTTAAAATTCTTTTACGCTAATATAACTTCGTGTAGCATCAGCGAAAAAGAAGAAATGGAAAATGATAAAAAAATAGAATACAATCAAAAGAAAATGTAGTTAGAAATAAAGAAATAGAAAACTATAGAAATAAGGAAAGAAAGCGATAAATGTAGAAAGAAAAACAGAAAAATAAAGAGAGAGATATAAGGAAAGAAATAGAGATTAAAAAAAACTAGAAACAAATAAAGTTTAAAAAAAAACACATAGGCTTTAATCGGAAAAAAGGTGTCAAAAGACAGAAATAGAAAAAATTGGAAGAAAATATCAAGAGAGAAAAAAATATCAAGAAAGAAAAATATAAAAAGAGAAAGAAATAGAAAGAAAAATATCAAGAAAGAAATGTCAAAGAAGAAACAGGAAAAAAAACATCAACTAGTTAAAGAAATAGAAAAAATAACAAAAAAAGAAAATATTGAGGAAGAAATGGAAAAAATAAAAATATCAAAAATGAAATAGAAAGAAAAACAAAAAATATGAAAAAAAAATATTAACAAGGAGAAAAAATAAAAAATAGAAAAATTAGTAGAAGTATATCAAGAAGGATAGAGAGAAAGAAATAAAAGATAGAAAGATGTAGAAAAAGACCGAGATTAAAATGGAAATAAAAAAGGGAAAGTTAATCAGATATAATGAAACATCACTTAAAAATAGAAAAATAAACAGCAAATAAATCAACATCCAGTAAAGGAAATCTAAAAAAAATTGCAAAGAAAAGTTTCAGGTTTAGGAGAGGTGAGAAAAAGGGCATGAGAAAAAGAGGCAAAGATGATAATGATTTTCTTATTTGAGCTAAATGAAAATGGGAATATGAAAAAAAAAAAGAGAGATTAATACTCAGGTAGATTTTATGGCTCAAATGAGCTTTGTCAAAGCAGAAGAAAAGTCGTATGTGGCAAAATGAAAAGCAAGAACAGATACCCATGCAAGGAATTAGACTTTGCTGGGTCATTTAATGAAATCTACTGAGGGCATTACTATCAATGACCAGCAAAAAACCTGCTGCACTTTGTTCATAGACAAGTAACTTTTTATCTATGTTAGTCTGGCAAATGTTGGACGATTTCCTCAAAGATGAAGAAGAGATTTGAGGTGACGGAGATATGGTTCTGCAGAAGGATGCTAAGGATATCATAGACCGAGCATGTGAACAACAATGAGGTCTTAGGATGCAAACAAGGAAGAGGTTTATACTTAACATAAGGAAGAGGCAGCTGAAGTTCCTGGGACACATAATGAGGAAGAAGGGCCTGGAGAATTTGATACTCATACGTCAAATAGAGAGAAAGAGAGACAAGAGAATACCATGCATGATATACCTGTAGGCCTTAAGCAAGTGGACCACAGACCATGGTCTCAGGGAAGTGGCAGAGGGAAGGAACTTGAGAGCTGCAAGGGATATAGGTAGGTGGAGAGCTATGATTGCCTACATCCTGAAAGGACACAGCACATAGAAAGAAAAAGAAAGTCTGGTAAAAGGCCACAAATCTAGGAACATCTAGTGAACATTGAACTTATATGTGACCAGCTTGTTAATCATTACTGCATGACAAGGCTTTTACTTTTCTTAGGAATAGTAAAAGATGCTGTCGAAAATCTAAACAAAGTATTAAGAAACAGGATAATTTTGCTAAAAACAAAGATAATTGTTCAACTGCTATGTAATATCATTCCTCCTTCATGGCAGTAAATGCTGGATGATTTTCTTGCAAATGAAGAGACAATGAAGCATATAAGCAATGTGGATGTGTTTAGGAAGATGGCAACAAAATGGCAGAATCACAGAGTGAGTTGAAATTTCTGGGCCACATAATGAGAAAGGTTTAAAAAAATTGATACTCACAGGACATATTGAAAACAAAAAAGATAGAGGGAAACAGTGAGTAACCTCCCTAACATGCTTGTTTAAATGAATGACAGATCAACTTGAAGTGATTTTAAAAAAAGACAATTTTACTAAGAGCTATAAAGGATAGGAATTTGTGGAGAGCCATGGCCATCTTTGTCCTTAAAGGAACATGGTGCATAAAAGATATCCTGTCACACGTCCAAAAGTGTGGTGTCTCCAGTGAGGACTGAACTCCTTATAGTTTTGCTGCCTATTGCTCCACGGTATGGTGCTTAGAGTTATCAATAATGATGGATTTGAATGTCAGAAAATAGAAAGAAATTAAAAAAAAAATATGCATACTTAGAGAAAGAAACTCCAGAAGAAAGAGAAAAATGTGGAAAATATAGAAAATTATTGGAAAAGATAGGAAGGAGATATAAACAGAACAGTACATAAAGGGAGGGGATTCAAAGAAAGAGATGATTGTGGGAAAATTCAACGAATGAGTAGAGAAATAAGCAGGGTGGAAAAGAAACAGAAAGTGATGTGTGAAATGGTGGGAGAAGGAAAGGATTGAAAAATTGCCCTTGACTTTATGCAGAAGGGAATAAGCAGCTTATCTTAAATATTTAAATGCTAAAACTGCGTGTGTATCACGTGGAAAAAATGGATGGGAAAAATGAAAAAAAAAATGTTGGGTGGGGGAGAAACAAAAACACTAAAAATAAGAGAAAATTATTCAGTTTGGAAAATAAGGAGTGGTATGAAAGTGACAATAGTGTGAAATGCAAGAATTCTTGAAATGAAGAGAAATTTCAGTGCTTTAAAATAAATCAGACCGACACCTAAAGACTTGTTTCTTAATGGCTTGTTAACTTCTCCTTTTTCATTTCTTTTTTTCTTTAATTCTTTTTTCTTTAATTCTTTTTTCTTTAATTCTTTTTTCTTTAATTCTTTTCTCTTTATTTCTTTTTTTCATTTCTTTTTTCCTTCATTTCTTTTTTCTTTTTTTCATTTCTTTTTCTCTCTTCATTTCTTTTTCTCTCTTCATTTCTTTTTCTCTCTTCATTTCTTTTTTCTCTCTTCATTTCTTTTTCTCTCTTCATTTCTTTTTTCTCTCTTCATTTCTTTTTCTCTCTTCATTTCTTTTTCTCTCTTCATTTCTTTTTTCTCTCTTCATTTCTTTTTTTTCACCTCTTTCTTTTTTTTCCACCTCTTTTTTTCATGTTAACTTTTTGTTTCTCTCACCATTTTTCCCAAATATTCTTTGTTTCTCTGTTTTTCATTTATTTCTTGTTTCTTTTCTTTTCAGCTTGCTTCTATTCTGTTTACTTTGTCTGTTCCTTGATTTGCATCCAAATGTATTGCTCAGCTTCATAAGTCTACAGACATCCTTACGTACATGTTGATTATCCCAGAAGGGGATATATCCATGAGATTATGTACACTGGATAATTTTATTTATAGTATATATCCGCCGATACAATTTAAATGAATCTTGAATTTGATAACATCGGTTATTTTTTAATCATTTCATTTTGCCACTGATTTTTCTACAGAATTTTGATTTTTATACACTCTTCATTATTACTAATTTTATACCATTTTATTATTCTCTGCTTTCATCACAAAACCCTGTGTCAATGTATTGTTCATTGTAACTATTATTTCATAACCAGTTATTCTATTTTTTTTTCTTATCACATCAGTGTAGGGGATGAAATTTGATCTTGTAAAAATATTCAACTTGTCCACAAAGTAATGGGGAGGAAAAGAAGAAAACAGATAAAGTGTAAACTCAAAGAAAAGATTATATGCCAAAAATTGTTGATGATTTACAAAAATTGTATTTTTGTTTTGATTTTTCTTTTTTATTTATTTCTAGTTTCTATAGAAAAGTGTTTTTTTTACAACAGGAAATAAATTAAACACAGAAAAATTTTTTATTGACTCTTCTTACTGCTTCAACTCTGACTGTTACATCCATCTGCTAAATGGATGCAATGACTGACTACTTGATAACTTGCTCTTTATTTATACCATGTGCCTGGAAGTAGTAGTAAACATAAATTTCACAGGAATATTTAATAGAAAAAATACTCAGCTCTGTTTGAAAGTGTGTTACTTGAAGAATATAAAATTTCTAACAATTTAATAACTATACACATTTAAAAGCTAAAATTTTGCACAATTTACATGACGTGTACTTTTTTTATCTTTCTCTTTAAATTGTAAGTTTATTAGATTTTAAGTTTGTATCCATTTATTAAGGATATCATATCTTAATGATTTTTAATAATAATATTTTTTTATTTTGTATCAAACTGATTAATTAATAGAATATGTTCTAATACTGTGTCTATTATCATTTGAATCCATCTAATTTGTTTATTTTGCCAAGTCTTAATTTATTTAAGGTTTTTCTGTACAAACTTCAAGGTGAATACACTCTTCATTATTAATAGTTGTTGCTAATTGTACATCATTTTATTGCTTATTATCATAAAACTCTGAGATAATACAATCATAATTATTATTTCCTTGCTACTTTTATTCAATTTCATTTTTGCCTGTTATCACAACAATCAAGGTGAATGCACTCTTAATTATTATATATTTTAAATCATACATTGTTACTGAGATTATGGCTTTCTCACATTGAAACACAGATTCTCATACAAGCACTCAAATTATGCAATATAGTGACTGGTCAATACCAAGACTACTTGGGAATATCGGGTATGGTAAACTTAGTTATGCAGGCCATCTAATGTATAATGGCTCTGAACAGAAAATCAGAGAGCAAAGTTCTAATTACAGTTGGGTTCATTATATTCACTTCTGGCATCTCATCTGTCACTTTCTCACATACATTCAATCATTTCCCTCTGTCTTTTCTACAAATACTTTCACGGTAACTGCTCCGACAAGCTACTTTTGCTGGTTCCCAAACTGCATGAATTTAAGCATGCTACTAGGTTGGCATTTCAGCCCCATCCTTTCACTGTCAAAACTGTTAAATTTAGTCATCTCTTCTACTCCAATAGCTTCATGTCTCACACTTCCCATGTGTGGAACTCCATTCCTCTTACTTGTTTCCCTGATAGCTATAATCTCCAACTATTCAAATGCAATGTCAATTGACATCTCCGATGCCTTGATCTAATTCCCTGTCTTTCTCTTCATCCTTTCCTCTATCACAACTCTTTACTCTTGCTCCCATTCTCTGTAATCTCTTGCATGCTAGTGGCACTCCCACCTTGCTCAGGGTGAAATGCTTAAAAAAAAACATGCAAATACCCTTGGGAAAGGCATGAATCAACCTCATCTCTCCCCCCAGCTATGTGTTAACTAATAGGACTTGTAAATCATTATCTTCAAAAAATTCTTACAATCTAAAAATATTTCCTGATTTTAAATAACCTACAAAAGGCTGATAAGCTATAGAAAAAAACAATCAATTAATACATTGTTGTTGTTTATCATAGCACTCTGGGGTCATTACATTTTCATTGTAACTTATATTGTTACTCACAATGATCTAGGTTGATATTATCTTCATAATCATCATTTTATTCTTTGCTTTTTTTTCCACATCTTATTGTTGACATTTATCACAACACTTTGGGCAGATATGGTCTTCATTGCTACAATTATTTTATTACTATTTTAATCCCACCTATGATTATTGCTTTTTCTCTTACATGATCTGTGTTGATACACTCTTCATTATTATTATTATTATATTACTATGTTCTACATAGTATTTATGTAGCTTTTATTTTCATCCCAAAACTCTGAGTTCATACACTCTTTGGCTATTGAAACAAGCAGTGCAGGATCAGAAATAAAGAAATTGTTTATTGAACTCTAGTAACACATCTCATGGACATCACCTTAACCATTTCAGCCATAGAAATATTAGTAATTGTTTTCCACTGAAATGAAGTGAAGTAATTATATTGAATCAATTGCTACAAGATTTAGTTCACTGTCATCGGCAGTTTTTCTTGTCAGAATCCATCTTGCACATTTATAATTTTGATTCATTTATGCATTGAACATTGCTGCCATATCTGGTCTGGTGCCCTGGTTCTAGATCTCAAGAATCTTGACAAAATCTAAAGAAGAGTCTATAATGTTATCAGTCCTTTTACAATATGGCTTCCCTCTGTCTTTTCTATAAATATTTTCATGGCAGTTGTTCTCATGATTTCTCCTCCTTGGTACCTCATCTATATGAATTTAAGTGTACATAGATTGGAAAATAGGTCTCATTATTTTACTGCTGAAATAGCTAGATGTAATAGTTCTAATAGTTTCTTTTTCCAAACTTCTCAACTATGGAAATCTCTTCCAGTTTCTGGCTTTATTGCCACTTATATTCTTCAAAAATTTTAATGCATTGTTAATTGCCATCTGTCTTCCTGAATCCTGTTCTTTTATTTTCCATTAACTTCATTAAAGTTTTCTTATTCTCTTTCACTACCAGTAACGCCTTTGCACTGTAGTGGCATTATTGCCTTGTTGGAGTGGAGTGATTAAAAAAAAATTAAGATGGGTGCAATAATTAAGTTTGTTACATATTTCTTTTTGATTCTCTACACTAACTGGTTTTATCAACTAGCTTAAAAGCCACATTCCATGCAGGCTTTTAAGCTAGACTTGAAGAGTGATAATTGGTCCTCTGGCTAAAATTAAAAAGACCTCTTTGAATTCCTTAATTAATTCCATGGAACTTCATAACCTCATTTAAAGTCTGATTCAGGCTATAAGCTCAATTCTGGACAAAAGATTGAGTTGGGCTGAAATTCCAATTCAGGCCAAAAGTTGAGTTCTTCAAATCACAAACTTTGTGGAACTTCAAAACCTCATGTCATGAAACCTCTCACTTTAACTCAGATTCCTTGACATTTTCAATTGGATATATTTTAAAATGAATTTAAAACAAATATTTTTAAATTCACAAAGATTTTGTGCCATTTTATACTCAACATAAATTAAAAACATTTAAATTTGCAAATTTATTTATTTTTTTTTTTTTTTCAGTTATTTAAAAATTTGAATTTTTAACTGTTCCCTCCTCATCTGAACACAAATCCCATTGCTAGATTTTCAAAAATCAAATGAAGGGCAGATTTTTAATTCTGGGATCATCTTGATTCAAAAAAGGTATGTCTGTGTAGAGCAAGTGTGGCCCAAGTTAGATGGATTTCTGACACAGACAGAATTTGCCATTTATACATTAAGAAGAAGATAACAGTTTTCATTTATTTTTTGATAATTCATTTTGATGAAGCATTTTCACAATTATTATCAAAATATGCCTGAGTGGTTAAAATGTTAGAATTTTAAACATCAAACCCAAGTTCAAATCTCATTAAGCTCACTTTGTCAAGGACGTGACCATGATAATATCTACTTGATCCCAGGATCATCTCCTTGGACCAATATCATATAATTATATTAATATTATCAAACTGATCCACAACCAGACATAAGCCATAGGAGTTAAATTGGGTAGATGAAATTACAGAAATCATTAATGGTTGTTCAAGCACAAAGTTGCAAGTTATCATGACTGAGGATTCAATTAATGATCATGACAGATTATAAACTCTCTTAGTAACTGTAGTTAACTATAGTTGCAGTATGAATCACATGTTGACTCTGTGGTTGCTGAAGTGTACCTGAAGAGGTGTCTGCAACAAGGATTAGTTAATCATCCTAGCAGGCAGATATACTTGCAAATGTGCAGCTGACCATTATCAAACTCTGTTGATAAAGATTAACATGAAAAATGCAGTATTAATCAAATAGAGTAAAACTAGTTAGAAAATATTAATCCATCTTATTTTAAAATATTGATTATTGGCAAAACTATATTTCTACTAAAATGTTATTGGTAATTTTTATTTATAACATTGTATTGTACCCATTTTGGTATAAATCAATTTTATGTTGACATTGATATTCAATTTTCAGAGCAAGAATTTATTATAGGCACCATATATGAGAATAAGCCATGTTTTTCTGAGCAACAGATTAGGTTAACAAATCACAGCATTTTATGGATTATAAAATACATTTAGGAAAATCAAGTTAAAAATCCTTCTTATAAACTTAGGGTCAGTCACCTGAAGCATTAAAAGCAAAATGTCTGTTATTTATCATAATGACATTTTACTCTGAAACACAATAAATTTAAACAGAAAATATAAAATATTTCCA